ACACAAAATGCATATCACAATATTCCACGTGTGAAAACACAAGAGGCATTTCAGCAACTCATCACACAACTAATTTACCACCCATTCACGACCCCGCCGCAACGTAATATGTAGGCTCTGGTAGGTTGCGCATGAGATCACGGCTAGTGTGACATCACCACACTCAAGTACAAACAGATAACAGTCACAGCTGACTGTCCACAGTGCGTGGACCTGCAAGAAGACCACACTTTTCTCGGGCCATTATCTCCGTAACCGTTCAACTTTGGACATAGGTGTTTTGGGTTATATCGGCATACTTTAACATAAGGAACACCCTCCCGAAGTTTGGTCCATTCCTCCTGGGACACCCTGTATATATATATATATAATTTATCTAAAGCTTACCGCATTTTCTTCCATGCGAGTGATTATTTCTTTGCATACATCAACCTTTGTCATTAAATCCTTACGGCCTTGTCGGATGAATCACATAATCATGTTTTATTTGACATAGGCCTTTGATACATGAGGTCTATTAAGCGGGAACCTCTTGTAGCTTGCTACGGGACGAAAACCAAATGTGTTTTTCATACGCATACAACCTTTTCATTCATCGGAAGCAAACCAACTGGTCCATAGGGTCACTGCAGTGGGCGCATGCAATTCGGCTCAGAAGCCGCTGTAACTGGCGCAAGGCAAAATTATTGCGTAGGGATATTGCGGCCGTGGCGTGCAGCAGTTGCACGGTGTTGCATAACTTGGGAAACAAGATTGTAAGCGTGAGGTAGCTCGAACTGTCTCAAAATCATTCGCCCACTGGAGGATAGTATTGACACTCGGGGTTTTACTACCAGATGGCTACCACCACCAGCACCACCACCATCATCGTCATCAACAACAACACAGGTTTGCCTTAGTATTCTTTTGGGTTTGCGTCAGATTTCAAGTGCTACCTTGCAATCACATCTTCTTCACTTTTGTCACAAGCCTACGAGGCCCAAAAGGACAAAAGGTCATACCCAGAAATGAGTAATTAGCATTAAAACTCCAATAATGTAAACATAAACATTATATGAGGGTCGTACTGAAAGTCACGAGCAACAATTTTTTGTGAAGTAACATACTTTATTATTGACAAACCAAATACACTACCTCAATATACAGAGCTTTCTTTATTTTTCCACATAATCGCCATTTCTTTGTACACATTTCTCCCAGCGTTCTGGGAGTTTGAAAATTCCCCTTCTGTAAAATTCCGTTCCAGCCATCCGAAGACACTGACGCACTGCTTTCTGAATTGCCTCCCTTGTCTCAAAACGTTATCCACGCAGCTGATCTTTCACAAATCCGAAAAGAAGGTAGTCGGAGGGTGCCAGATCAGGGCTATAGGAGGGGTGTGGAAGAACTTCCCACCCCATCTTTGCAATTGCTTCCAATGTGAGGCGAGCGGCGTGGGGGCGAGCGTTGTCATGCAGGATGATGATGTTTCGTCCCGGACGTTTATCGCGCAATGCACGACGGAGCTTGTGTAGCGTCTGGACATAACGAGCAGCACTGATGGTTTGCCCAGGTTCCAGGAATTCGGCCAGAATAAACCCCTCTACATCCCAGAAGACTGTGCCCATCACATTCGCACCTGATGGCACTGTCTTTGCCTTCTTTTTTGATGAAGAATGCAAATGGTGCCATTCCATAGTCTGCCGTTTCGTTTCAGTCTCGAAATGGTGAAACCAGCTTTCGTCACCTGTCACAATACAGAGCAAAAAATCATCGCCATCGTGTCGATATCTCTGCAGGAGTTCTGAGGTGATGGCTTTTCGCTGGCCTTCGTGTCTTCGGTCAATAACCGCGGGACCCAACGAGCACAAACTTTCCTATAGCCNGGAATTCGGCCAGAATAAACCCCTCTACATCCCAGAAGACTGTGCCCATCACATTCGCACCTGATGGCACTGTCTTTGCCTTCTTTTTTGATGAAGAATGCAAATGGTGCCATTCCATAGTCTGCCGTTTCGTTTCAGTCTCGAAATGGTGAAACCAGCTTTCGTCACCTGTCACAATACAGAGCAAAAAATCATCGCCATCGTGTCGATATCTCTGCAGGAGTTCTGAGGTGATGGCTTTTCGCTGGCCTTCGTGTCTTCGGTCAATAACCGCGGGACCCAACGAGCACAAACTTTCCTATAGCCCAAGCTTTCAATCATCTCCTGTACTGCACTGTGCCCTATTCCAAGTTTTTGAGCTGTTGTGTCCACAGTCACACGCCTGTCATCTTGAATGATCTCATCCACTCTTTCCTTGTTGCGTTCAGTTGAGGCTGTTCGAGGGCGACCGCTCCGAGGCTCATCTTCGATGCTGGTGTTCCTGTCTTTAAAATGTTTCACCCACCTTCGAACACTGCTCGCACCTATGAACACACTTCCATAAGCACGCTGAAGTCTCTGGTGAATTTCTGAAGCAGGGATTTCCTCTTTCACAAGAAACTCGATGACAGCACGCTGGTGAAACGACATATCGTTGTCGGCTATTTTGTTACGAGTGATACTGGTCACGTGATGCAAGCTATTGACGTCACAAGACACTCAAGGTTAACACAACAGCTGGTTCCACCTACCACCATACTCTCTTTCGTCTGCTGTTCCCAGGTTGCATGCGAAAAAAAAAAGTTGCTCATGACTTTCGGTACGACCTAGATTAATTACGGGCTGGACCGGGTGTTTGGTTCTTGCTAGGAACGCGTATTCACTCTTCACCATACGTACAGAGCAGATGTGGACCTCATCCGGCCACTTCCTGTTCAGTGGCTCTCAGGAGTAAAGCGACCGAGACGTAAATCTGAACACTCACCTGTATCTAAGAGGATTTAGATACCTGTTTTTATAACGTCGCACCTAATTAATCCTTTAATGCCAGTGATTTTATATGCACCACCTGCTTTGGCATACTAAAACTCTGCATTCTGCACACACACACACACACACACACACACACACACAGTGTATTTCGCTGTTTCATATGGTTCGCACAACGAACAGTGATTATGTGGCTGGAGAATATAGACGTTTCGACGACAATTTGTTTTGGTGCGGGGGGAGTGGAGAGCTTGGTCTAAAGAGCGTCGAACTTTTTCTAAAATGGATCGAATAACTTCCGTTGAAAAGAACGGAAACTCCCCACCCCTCTTAACAACACAGTGCGTTGAGAAACCGCAAGTTTGTGACATAATATTCTCCGTTTCTAACGTTGCCTGATGTCATGTGTCTTCAAACCGCTGTCCACAGGCTGTCGACTGACTGGATCAGGCGTGGAGTATGCTGGGAAAGTGCACCGATCAGCCGGCGAGCGCGACTGTTTGTCATGGAACAGCCGTCACAGGGAGAAGGGCATGAAAGAGGCCAGTCGCTTCCCTCACAGCGTCTTTCCTGATGGATCGCGTAGGAAGGCTGGACATCGATGTCGCAACCCAGATGGAGACCCCGGAGGACCGTGGTGTTACGTGAGGAGAGAATTTGAAGATGAAGGTGATAAAGAAAATGAAGAGGAGGAAGATGAACCGGCGAAAGTGGAGAGGGATTATTGTAGTATTCCCTTTTGCAATGAGCAAGGTAAGTTAGAGGTCCCGATAGAAGTAAATACGAACTGTAATGAAGCAGAGTGTTGAGGGGAGTAAATGGAACTAAGGTACATGAAGTAAGAAGCGGATGGAGAAAGATGCACGATTGTTACGGTGATCAAGCCAAAAAGAGTGCAGCACTCATAACGGAGATGAAAAGTGCATACAAAATTTTAGTTGGAAAGCTCGAATGGAAGAGACGAACTCTGGGATAAAGTCGTACACGTGCATGGGAGGGTGATAAAAGAAAAGGTTTCAAAGGAGTAAGGTGTGAGAATGTGGACAAGATTCAACTGACTCAGGAGAGGGGCAAAGTAGGTGGATTCTTTGAATCTGGTAATGAACTTCCGGGTTCAGTAACGGAGGGAAGATTCTTGACTTCCTATGCTGCTAACAAAATTCTGAGGAATGAATCTGCTCCATGGATTGATTTAGTTATGAAACGTACATGGATTCCAAATACGCCCCTGTTCCCCTAACTTGGGGTTTAAGGAAAACCTGCTGTAGGCGCTGTGTGTTTGTACTTGCGTCCATTGGCTTTGCGGTATCTCTTCCTCTGTCCGGCTACAGTGCATGTAATGACATCGCACCAGACGAACAGATTTTAATACAATTTTGTGTTGACAGTACGTAATATGTTAAAAGATGATGGAAGGTGTACTAGTGAAATTAAATCCAGGATTTCCATGGCAAAAGCTGCATTTAGCAAGAAGAAGAATCTTTTTACCAGCAAATTTGACTTAAATTTGAAGAAGAAACTAGTGAAATGCTACATTTGGAGCATAGCTCTGTATGGGGCTGAAACATGGACACTTAGGGCAGTAGATCAGAAACATCTGGAAAGTTTCGAAATGTGGTGTTGGAGAAGGATGCAGAAGATCAGTTGGACCTATTATGTGAGAAATGAAGAAGTGTTAATTAGAGTAAGTGAGCAGAGGAATATCCTACACGAAACAAGAAAACGGAGGGCTAATTAGATTGGTCATGTTTTACTCAGAAACTGCCTTCTAAAAGAAGTTATTGAAGGAAAGATAGAGGGGCGGATAGAAGTGACAAGAAGACGAGGAAGAAGACGTAAGAAGATGCTGGATGACCTTGGGAACAGAAGAGGATACTGTCATTTGAAGGAGAAAGCCCTAGATCGCATTAAGTGGAGGTATTGTTTTGGAAGAGACTGTGGACCTGTCGTCTGACAGATTACTAATGATGATGATGAGTACGTAATAATAGACTATCTCTGTGGTCGAGTGGTCAGAGTTCCTGGCTACAGATCCAGGGGTCCCAGGTTCGATTCCCGGCGCTACCAGATTTTCTGAGAAGTAGTAGGTCTGGAACGGCGTCCACTAAGCCTCGTGAGGATAACTGAGGAGCTATTTGAAGGAAATAGCGGCTCCGGTCTAGAAAACCGAGATTAACGGCAGTGGGGTCCGTTGCGCTGACCATCCGCAAACGTTGGCACTAACTTCGCCGACAAGCGACAAGCTCGGTCAGTATAGTTCACTTGCGGACTACTGAGTGACCTCGTTCCAGACCCACTACTTTTCAGAAAATTTGGTAGCGTCTGGAATGGAACCCAGGACCTCTGGATCTGTAACTAGGAATTCTGAACACTAGGCCACAGAGGCGGTCGTCCAGTTTATAACCATTTTTAATAAACATGTGTTGTGCAACTGTATATGTACGAGATATCTGCTCAGACTAATTTCATGTTTCAGACTGCGTGGTGTACACGACGGGAGGTGAGGGCCCGGTGGTGCACTCCCACTGGACTCCCTTCCAAAAGGGGAATGCCACCATCAGCTTCGCCATGAAGCTATGGAACCCCGAGGAGTGGAATCGCGTCAGGCTGCACCTGGCACTCAGCGTGCTGTCCATCCCGTCATCGGGCTCACAACTTCAGGAGTGGCAAACGGGCGTCGAATTCGTGTTATCTAACACGAATTCTGGCATTGTAGCGGGAGGAAAGGTATATACTTCAGCCGGGACACCCTCATTTACAGGGGTAGGACAATATAATTTCCGCAATGGGATACTGAGCCTTCCAGGTTCCTTTGTTATTGTCATGCAGAGGACTGGTTGAAACTGTTGTAAATACTCCACAGTTTACACGTAATCTAAACGCTTAAAACTTGTACGTCCCCTCGTTTTTTAATTTGAGACGGACTAATTTTATTTAGATGGTCAAATTTATTAGGCTTCCAACTTCTCTAGCGTCTTTTTCACAAACATGCATCAAAAGGTGTACCCGGCCTCTCGAAACGCCCACTTCATGATTTTAATCTCCATTCATTTGGAGAGAAGAACAAATATGGAAAAGTTAAGGCACCCACGAATTGTTTAAAAGTAAACAAATCTGAAAAGACTTCTGGTGTTTGCTATAAAATATTTTTACTGTTGTTCGGCTGTCGTGAATTAAATCCTCTACCGTGTTCCGATTCACAATTAGTTTTGAAACAATCTGTTGTTAAACCTTGTGTATCGTTCTCTGGATGGGAGATATGCCTGTCCCGAAGCCTCTGTCCATGTAGATAAACACACCACAGCGAACATGAACCTACATAGACCCCTAGAGAGATATGAACCCGCAATCCCCATGTCGTATTGACCCAAGATCATACTCTTCTTCGACCACGCGACCACTGCTTATTCTGCCTTCTGTACGCAAATACAAAAAGTGCGAACACAGCCATGTGGTGGAGCTTGCGCCCGCCCGCTCGTCTCCGAAGGTATCGAACAGATTTCGACGAAATTTCTTATTCGGCAACTAAACCAAAGATTTGCAGGACGAATTTAATTTTGGCTCGTACCTTTCCAGTATAACCTCTATTTTACGTGAAGGTAAAGTCTAAATGTAGCTGTCTTCATAAATGCAGCCCATCGTACACGAACTGACATAAGATACTAAATTAATTAAAATCTGCAAATTTTATTTGTTACTTTGCCGATATGATGAATATTTAACAAAATGAAATGATAAATATTCGTAATTTCTCATTCTGCGCATTCTTCAGCTCTCGTCACTACAGTGCAGTTAGACAAAGAATTCTTCCAGCTCGTTCCCCGCTTCTTCCACCCTCTCCTCCTGCGCTACCACTACTCGGTCGCGCTCTTTCATGCCTATTGGCTAGATGACTCATTCTTCACTAGCATTAGGTGAGGGGTACCAGCAGTCAGGCTAAGACGATAGAGTGGGGGAACTGGCCCTTCTCTCCTAGCAACTGTTATCCCCATCACGCGCGACAGTTTTTTGGCCGTCTCAACTGGACATGGAAGAACAGCTTCAAGAGTTGGTCTCCTTTCTTCTGTGGAAAGAGTCCTTGTACTCAATGTCTAGGAGGCTTGGCGACTCTTAGCGCCAGTCTGAACGCCGCAGAAAAGAGAAAAATGAAGAAAGCAGTCTTCTGGGATGTGGCGCCGTGTAGATGCTGTGTTAACCGACGTTTCGGAGGAACGTATCTACCCTGAAGATGGAGGCGATACGTTCCTCCGAAACATCGGTTAACACAGTATCTACGCGGTGCCACATCACAGAAGATTGCTTTCGTCATAGTCACCGCCGTGAAAACCTCAAATCTTACAAGAGACAAATGTCCAGGAATCAAATTCATACTTCCCGGCTTCGCGGTCCCTAGCCTAGGCACCATAATGACGGAGCTATTTCGGCTCATTTATAACTCTGTGAAGTCTGATGTATGTAGTGCAAATAGTTTAACAGCTATTCATTTCTGTCGCATTAAATAATTCGTTTTGTTTTAGTCAAGACTGGATAACGCAGGACAGTGCTTTTAGAAAATGCTTGGCTATACTAGTTAGACAGAGTAAAACCAAGATGCAGGAACCCTAATATTTCAGATAAATTGTGGCAATAATTCGTAATCTTAATTTCATTTTCTGTTACAATAATTTCAGTAACATTTTCGCCTATCCGTAAATACTGAAAGTCATGTTTCTTATATTAATTGATCGTCAAGAAGTTAACATAAATTCCTTTAATCTCTAAATGTTGATGTTATTAACAGTCTAAAATTCATAAACTAATTCAGGAATAAATATCGCGAAGTTAATTATCGTGGCATGTAATTACATTTAGAACCCAGCAATATGGTAACATCAAACTACATCTTCAACAACAAGAATATTCAAAGTGAGAGAGCACGCCCAAACCATGCCTGGCGACAGCTGACCACGCAATGAATAAATCTGCAACTTCAAAACACTTCGCTGCATTTTCTTCTGCAGATCAGGCTAAAGGAACACATAATATAATTTAAACAACAAAAAAAAAAACAACAAACTCCGTGGTTTTAGTCCGTAAGCGAACTATACCGACCAAGCGACCGCCACTTATCGGCGAAGTTAGTGCCAACTTTAACGGATAGAGGGTGTCTCACGTGGTCAGCGCAACGAAGATATATATGTAAGACAACTAAAAGAAGTAATTGTACTGATCATTAACAGTAACTCTCAGATTTAAGTTAAGATCTATATTAAGAATCTAGGGGTTAACGCTATTATAGAATAAGATGTTTATAAGAATGTGCTACAGAGTGCGGGAAGGGGATTGCCTAGGCCTTTTTTTGTGTTTACAATATTTTTTCTACAATAAAAGAATCCCCACGGCCGTTAATTTCGGTTTTCTAGACCTGAGCCGCTATTTCCTTGAAAGAGCTCCTCAGTTATCCTCACGAGGCTGGGTGGACCCCGCTTCAGAGCCACTACTTCTCAAAAAATCTGGTAGCACCGGGAATCGAACCCTGACCACTAGACCACAGAGGTGAATATAATATAATATGCTACAGAGTCCAGCATTGGTGAGCACTCCAGGCCTCGTTTGGGGGACCCGATGGACGAAGATGTGGATCAGAGTGGAAGGAGGTAACATTTCCATGGGCAAAGAAGAGGACACTACGCCGTTGATAAGCGGAGAATACAACAACACTGGACTGTTTCGGCTCAATTCCAAGACTTCCCTTTACTACAGCATTGTTGGAGAAAGTGGCATGTGGAGTTTCCCTTCCTGTATCTCAGGTACGGCTACTTCTATCACAAAACTGAATGGTTAAAGTGGAAGTGGCCGGTCACGGTAGCTGAGCGGTCTAAGGCATGTACTGTCTTCGCTCACTTGTAAACCGGGATTGTGGGTTCGAATCCCACTCAGGGCATGGATGTTTATTTTGTGTGTGTGCGTTTTTCTGTGTTTGTGTAGAGGTAGAGGCTTTGCGACGAGCTGATCACCCGCCCAAGGAGTCCTACCGAATGTGAAAGATCTAGAAAAACCGAAGTGAACGGAGAAGTTCATGGAGGTAGGCCTAGGCCCACTGGGGCTGTGGTTCCAAGTGGGGGGGGAAAAAGTGGAAGTGTGTACTTCCAGTTGAAATAGGGTCTACACATATTTTACAAATAATTACTTTACATAATTAATTGATCTGGTTGTTCATGTTTTGCTGATGCAAAGCCAGTAGCGGGGAAATTAAATTAGTTTATTCATCATATCATTCAGTAAGTAGAGTCATTGGTTTAGGTCGCTCACAGGACATTTCTCTGACATAGGTTGAAGTTTATTTCAGTAATCTTCCTCACCATTGGTACATAAATTTTTATCTTCAAAAAAATACTGAATAATCTTGATTTCATTGTTTTCTTTCAATAAAACTTCCTTACATTATCAAAATGAATTAATACGAGTATACAAGCACTTAACTATGCATTTTCTTCGTGAACAGAAAGAACTAGCGTATTTCAGGCAGAGAAAGGACTCGCTAGATGCCAGTGTCATGCATTTTGGAAACAGTTGTAAGCTGGAAATGTAGTGCACAGCATATACATATATACATCTTGTACAGCATTGCTATTTTTCGGGTTCCAGACTGCGAGGTGCAAACAACGACCCGGTTGGAATTCGTCCGTTTCTGGCAGCTTATGAAAACAACCACGGCACGCGAAGCCATGTTTTTCGTAAGAGCTGTACATTCTGCCTCTCTCGAGCTCAGAGCGTCACCTGCCATCAAGTACCCTCGCATCCGGGTGAGTACGTCTTCTGCTTTATGCCAGCATGGGCTATAAAATTACATACTTATGTGTTTTAATCCGCGTGGGTCTAATCTTATTTTAAAACTTAACAAATATATAGTATTAAGTCTGATCGGGCCCAATTTTAACTAACAAAATTTTATACTAACATTGCAGTTTATATGTATTCCGCCACCATTTTTATATTTATCAAAACTCACCTGATGATGGCCTATTCGGGCCGAAACATTTGTGAGTCGAATAATAAAAACATTTGTTTGTGTGAGAGAAACTCCATTTTTATTCGCAAAGCACCACACACACACACAGACGCAACAGTAAATTTTGTGATGCTTTCCTCGAAGTTCTCGTTTCCGCCAAACAAAGTTAGCCCGTAAGCATTCCCGATGAAGTGACAGTTGATATTGCGTGTTATCAGCTAATGATGGGTGGAAGAAAGAACAAGACAGAGCTGATCTTGCAACGGTCCGCCAACTCGAGCCAAATTGTGTTGGGGACAGTGAGGGCTGACACACTGCTGTCATATTGGGACTGGAGAGAATTCTCCATCAGGTAAGATAAGCCAGTCACTTTTGTTTAGGCTTTCCAGATTAGAAACTTCCCAGTTCTTCGGGAATGGTTTAATTACGATATTGATGTCGATATATGATCCAGAGGAACTGGATATTATAGCCAGCCCCGTGAAACTCTCTCGTTATTGGTGGGCAACATGGTCGCCATGACACCACGGGTGAATTACTGCTGCAATCTCTACGCATTTTCCCCAGACTTTATACAAAATGGCCGCCAAAGCAGAGAGTACAATCGGTGAAAACGTACGCTAACATAGCACCTGCTTTTGGGTGCACCTCGCTCCCACCGCAACCACCGCCACATAAGGCGTTTTTCGCAAGAATAGCAATAAATAATTTTTTAAAGCTGATCTTGCTGTCTTCCTGCATGTATCCACTTAAGATCTTGCTGTCAACATGTCTATGTCCATCATACCTTCACTGCACCGACGCTGCTGTCATCTTGCGTCGTGAAGCTCATTTCACTTGCCATTCACTACAGGCATCATTCCACATCAGCCGTCCAGACTCACAAAGCCCGAACTCAAGACTGAGAGTAGCAGCCATTGTTTTCCGCACGTAATATTTCTAGAAAGCGCCCGTGCTTTCGCGAGTATATTTGGTGATCCACGTTTCTGGAAGAGCCAAAATGAGACCCGACCTCTCGTTAGAGAGGGCACTCCACATGGACAAGACAGTAACTTTCTTTCAAAAGAAATATCTGGTCATGAGCCCCAGCTGGGCCTTGACACCAAGACAGACAGACTGACTGACCGTCATTGCACCATGACTTTGACTTTGACTCGGAAGAGCCAAGAGGACTGGGAGATCTAGAACCTTCGGTGAACGAGTCACAGACAAATCGGCATGTACACCCACACCGTGAGCTAGTGCTAACGTGCCAATATGTTTTCAACACGCCTAGATGCTCCCCCACCCTTCTTGTGGTTTGTTCGTTTGTTCTATTAACAGAAACTACAAAGAATCACAAGGTTAAGGTAATGCATTTGTGAAAATTGAAACAAATCTACAGTTTTCATTGGATTTGTTTGAAATTTATACCAGTTATTTAGCATGAAATATGACCTATAGTACCAATTTTCACATTTTTAGCTTTAATAATTTCTGAAATATTAATTTTTTAATATTTTATATTAATGCGCAAAATAATGTGCCCCGTGATGCAATTTTCAAAACTGAGTCATGAAATATGGATTTTTATGCTTATTCTAAACAAATTAAAACTTCTATCATATCATTTTTATTGCTATCTTAACTACTGAGAAAAAATATTAACTTCTATAGTAGTCAGATTTAATTAATTTTTTTTTTAATTTTTCAGTTCAATGAAGTGCAACAAAAGAAAAGTAATATGGTCATTTTGTTCATAAGCAAATAGGAAGCCTGTGTGTAAAATTTTATACAGATTGGTAAAAAACTGAAGTTGTGAAAATGTTGAAAAAACTTAAATCAGTTTTAAAAATTTGTTAATGAATATCTTTGTTTTCTGACCTCAGATCCAATTAAAATTGACCAGATCCATATGTGGGACCCTCTTTCAGTTTCTTCTTGTCCTCTGCAGCTACTCTGGACAACCTCAGCTTCTTTCTGGCAGATTTTGAGCCTGGTTCACTGCAATGTGTGCTCCGCTTGAGGTGATGGTCATCCCTTGCCCTCCCTATTTTCTCAGCTGCTGGGCTGAACTTCAGTTTTGTTGCTTCCTCTTTCAGATCTTGGCTTGCTATACAGCCCATATTGAACTCACTCACTGCATTAGTGACCCCACTGTCTAATTTTTTTTTTTTAAATAAATGTGTCTTTTGGACATTTAGTCCAAATAAGACTACATAATGCCTCATTGGCATTTTGAGTCTTCCCAGGTATGCACCTTTTCAGGAATTCCTCATTAGCTAATCTGGTGTATAATGGAATCAGTTTCTTTACTACTTCAACAATCAGTAATGTCATCCTCACTCAGGCTTAGATCAGTGGCAATATAAGACTGCCGAACAATAGTCTGAGCCTCCTGCAACACACTGTGATGTATTCCTGTATTTTCATTTGCTGTTTGCAACAAATGGGAATTATACGAGGAAGCGCTGATTAATGCCATGCCATGCCCATGCATAATTTTTCCATTCCAGCATTACCATTTTTCTTATAGCTAGTGGGGTGGGACTAAGTCCCTTGTACTGCGGCCACTTCTGGCCTATTGTACCAGCCCCAGATGATGGGTGAGGGTGATTGTGGAGCAATTGGTGGAATGAAGATTGGCAGAGGAAACCGAAGTACTCGGAGAAAACCTGCCCAAGCACCACTTTGTCCACCAGAAATCTCACTTGACCAGACCCGGGATCGAACCCGGGCCGCCACGGTGGGAAGCCAGCGACCAACCTTTTGAGCTATGGTGTGGCCTAGCATGACCCTTACCTAATGATAAAAAAATGTTTACCATTTTTTGGTTCACTTCAAATGGAGGTCGACTTGATTTGGTGCATTCAACCCTGGGACTGGTATAAGTTTCACTGCAGGTAATGTAGCAAGCTGCACATTTTACAGCTACTTTAACTGCAATGCCCATGAATTGAGAAAAATCTATTTTCAAATCATTTCCCCCGCAAGTGCCACATTTTACTCCTTTACATATTTGCTGCCAAAAGCTGGAATGGATTAATACATAATCAGAATTAGTCACATCATTCAGATACTCACTGTCTTGGGCAGCATTAATTCTTTTGTCAGAGAAAAAAGATAGCTTTGTCTGGGATGCACATGCCTGGGAAGATGATGCTGAAGAGAAATTCTCTATCAAAGCACTTTCATTTCTTTCACATACTTCAGAACATATTTCCATTTGTTGTTGCTTCTTCCTTCTCTTGTCTACTAAATTTTTAGCCTACAAACTTCTTTTGGTTGGTCTCTTTCCTTTTAGTCTTTTATCTGGGAACCTATTCATGTTGTATATACAATACTATGTACACTTGAAAATAAAGTAAACACTGACCTAACCTACACTAAATTATAGTTAGTTCGTTAGTTAGTTAGAGAGGGTGGGTTTCCCCATGCACCGCGACCAGTTTGATCTATTGTGCTTCCCTCTATGATATTCTAGCAGTCTCTATATCCTACCGGTACTGGTGCTTACCATCAGTCCCGCCCAGCCAGCGAGACCGGCTCTACTAGCTGAGAGGTATCTATAATGCTTCCCCCATCTACTAGAGGTATTAGAGACTGCTGTTGGGCGGGAAACGTCCGTAATTTGGCTCAGTGACCTCCTTTGGAGATATGAGGTTCTTTTACGTGCCGTAAAGCTACGACACGGGACCCAAGGCTTAAAGTCCCTCCCGGAGGACTTGTTCCCTGAATTTTTCCGCCCTTAAAAATTCGACGACATCTGCCGGGTATTGAACCCGCGTACTACGAGTCAGGAGGTGGGAACTTTACCTCTAGACTGCGGAGGCCTAAATTAAATAAAACTGAATGAACTATTAAAAAGAATATAACACATATAAAAATACATAGCACGACTGTCCACAACAACAAAACCAAGATTCTCAACAACTAAAATACATTAACGCAACGAAAATAGCGGTTTAAATGGGCAATTGAAGCTCAAATGTTTACCTTTGAACATTCACAGATTACCCACAACACTAAAGTTCCCTATGACACAGAAAAGGCGCAAAATTCAAATTGACAAATGTGTTGTGTACTGCTGAAACATGTACAGGCAAACCATGCGGGCGTGGCAGCTGAAACACGTGCACAGGGACATTTAAATGGTCACCTCAGGTCCATTTAAATGGCGCGAGGCCAAAATAACTTCCATTTTACTAAATAGGAAGATATGAACTATTTTATTATACAAAAATCAAAATTTGTGATTTTTTATAATTTTTCCCCAAATTTCACAGATGCATTACCTTTATATGCCACTTTACTATTGCTAGGAAAAAAGTGACGCCCTTGATTACAATTTTACAGCTAATGTAAAGCAAGTGGGATTATCTGACAAAAATAGAGGGACCCACACAATCTTAAAATGATCCAGAACATTCATCTGTAACTAGGACATCATATCTCCCCTTCCTCCCTTCCACTGCTGAAGTTTATAGCCCTGAAGATTTGTTATTATATTCAAATTTAGCAAGGTTTACTTCTGGCACTTCTTTAGAAATGTACATTTTGTTATTTCACAGAAAGTTTCGCCATTCATAACAGTCATTGCACCGGTAGGTTTTTTTTTAATGCTAGTGGGGTGGTACTAAGTCCCTTGTACTGCGGCCACTTCAGACCTATTGTACCAGCCACAGATGATAGGTGAGTGTGATTGTGGAGCAATTGGTGGAATGAAGATTGGCAGGGGAAATCGAAGTACTCGGAGAAAACCTGCACCAGCGCTACTTTGTCCACCACAAATCCCACTTGACCGGACCTGGGATCGAACCCGGGCCGCCAGCGCCTAAGCGCTTGAGCTATGGCACGGCCATCGGTAGGTTCCTTTACTCCGAATCTTATTGATTTGAAGGCCTACATCACATAAGTAAAAGAAAGTTAAATTTGTCCCTGTACTTAACTAATTAAGTACTATGCCATGAAGGCGTGTGGGGGAGTGGATGTATGAATCCACATTTTCTTGGGCTTGGCACTAGTTGGAGGTGAGTGGTCAGCTTCGAGCCCCGGCCGCTTTACCCCTGGGGAAAGAGCCCCCGGTACATATTGGATAGGGAATTGGGCTGACCCCCAGAGATGGACAACGTGGAGAAGAGAAAATTCTTGATCTCACTGGGACTGAAACTCCGACCCCTCTGTCATCCAGCCCATAGCCAGTCGCTGTACTGACTGCCCATAGGAAGATACAGCATCAGACATGGCAACACAACATGTTCCTGTACATTGAAATGCCAGGAGGGATTGTCGGAAGCCCAACTGGTCGTTTCATACAGGGAAACCAATGTTTCTGGCTTAAAATCATATCTTGCTTGTGCATACTGTTGTCTGTGGAAGCCGGAGTGGACAGTTAAATGAATGGATGGATGACAAAGATGAAACAGACTAGTGTCTGCGGTCCAGTGTTCTGAAACAAATAAGATATAACTTAGGGTTAGTCTACTTACAACATAACTAAAGGGCCAACATCTACGCAGGAGTGTCTATTTTCTCTGGTTCCCCATCCCCCCTTGATACAGGCAGCTGCTTCAATATGAATTAATAATTGCTGTGAAATTGCAGACTTAGGATTGAAGTAACATGAACTGATGTTTTCAGTTTATTTGGCGACACTTTGGCCGTTTTCTGGACACGAACCATCGGCACGCAAACCCTCATTGAGGTAGGACATGAGGTGATAAGAAGTATGCAATGGATCAGTCCAGGCTCCCGTTCTACTGCTCACTGGACATTGTTATGTGCTCCAACTGGTAAGCATAACGTAATATTGGTAGGGCCATAATGAACCAACCATTGTCACTACAACAACAGAGCTGGACAAGCATATGCAGTATCTCTTTATCGTGATATCACCGTATATGCCGAAAACGATACCTGACAACATCCAAGCACATTTCGCAACAACATAATAAATTGTGTTACATTGATTTTTTTAAAAACATTCAGGACTTCACCTGTAAAGCATAGAAATATTGTTTTCTGATCTAATTTTCCCTAGAGAAAATGTCCTTGCAGGCCTATATTAAAACCAGGTAAAGTAAAAAAAAGTAAAGGCATCCCTGTAACAGGCCGTGGAGGCCCATAGGATTGTGAGATGTTGAGGTTCCCTCTTTTTCTAGACAACTGGCTCTTAGATGGCGGCAGGGTTGTCAGCCTTATGTGCCAGCTGCCCTTTACCCCCAAGAACATTCCTGGTACTCATTTCTGTTAGAGGCTGAGTCAACCCCAGGGCCATAGTGCGGCTGGAAGGATTAGGTCAATTGAAAAAATCCAATGACCTCATCAGCATTCGATCCCACAACCCTCTGGCTTGTAGTGTAGTGCCTTAACCAACTACCAGGAACATGCATAAAAATGTATCAAGAATAGCTGAAGGTATGAGACAACTTGGAAGCCTTCGGCTTACATGATATTATAATATTAATCTATATTTAAGGGAAGAATTTAGACTGGTGAAATTTGAGAAAAGGGAGCTGAGCATAATTATGACCTTCAAAACTCGTACTCCTCTCCAAATATAATTAGAATGATCAAGTTAAGGAGGATGAAATGGGCAAGTTATATAGCAGGCATGGGAGGGAAGTGGAATGCATGCAGGACTTTGGTGAGAATATCAGAAGGAAAGAGACCACTATGAAAACTAGATGTAGATGGGAGGATATACTAAAATACAATTCAGAGAACTGGGTTTGCAGTATGGACTCAGTTCCTCTGGTTCATGATAGAGGCAAGTGGTTCCCATTAACTGGGTAATGAACTTTTTGGTAACATAAATTATTGGGAAATTCTCGAGTAGCTGAAAGAGTTGCCTCCTCAAGAATGCTTGAATTCCATGGTCTTAGTTAGCTCGTTCTTGAAGAAATAAGATATGAAGGTGTGGAATGGCTTCAACTGGCTCAGGATGGAGACCAATGGCAATCACTTGTGAAGATGGTGATGAACCTACAGATTTCATACAGGGTGGGGGATTTCTTGCCCAGCTGAGCAACTATCAGTTCCTCAAAAAGTACTCCATTTCATGTAGTCAGATACTAAAATACAGAGACTGTGAGAACCATAGCCGTGGACTGATTACAGGTATCCCTCATTTTGGAAACACCCAATTTATGAAGCGTTCCATATTCTCAGACATAATTCAGTGTAGTCTGTTGAGAGTCAATCAACGTTTCAGAGGAACATGCCACTTCCATCTTCAGGGTCGTAGAAAAATCCAAGCAAGCATGGCTTTCTGAGACTACATGACGCTACATTCCAGAGGAGAGAACTTTTTATAACCACCAGTGTGAGAACCTCAAATCCTACTCAGTTTACAAATTTTTGCTATCTCGGGTCCGGAGATAGGGACTAGCTCTATTGACTTGGCTCAACTGAGTAGGTTTTACCTGAAGATGGAGACAGAATCCAGTCTCCAAAACGTTGTATTCTGAAAAATAAGCAGGATGGTGTTTTTAGAAAAAGACAGGATGATGGGTAATGTCTAGAAACACATTCGTACTAATGTACCATCGTAACAAACTTTTAGATCTCTTATTTATGTTCTTCCTCCAAATTAAGGGAGCACATTTTTTACATCCATACAGAATGTCTGACAAATATGATTAATATCCTGATCTTCACCATTACAGAGGGTAGATGGGATGATAAACAGTCTTCCAGACTGCAGTCTTCTCACAGTTTCGTCATAAATATCATTTACTGGAATACTGTTAGCACTGTTCCAAAATGTTAAATATTCTTAAAATGTATCATACCACATACAGACTGGCTGGTTCTCAGGTCTACCTAATTTTATACACAGTAGGTACAAGTGATTCTTTTATCTGGGCATAAGGAGGCCAGAATACTAAACTGGCCACTCACCCCATCTAATGCCAAGACTGAATATGTGTACTTTGAAACCATTTCCCCATATGCCTCTATGGCATGGGGTTTAAGCATAAGAAAACTTTTTATATAACCTCACATTCAGAAATGTATATATCTTCTTTGTAGAAGCGGCAAAAGTTCCTGCAGCCTTGCCTCCACAGTGCTCCACGTCTGAGGCAGACGCCAAATACATGGGGTCGCAGTGGATCACAATGACAGGACAGCCATGCTTACCTTGGGTATATGCAGCGAGCAGCATGAGTTTTCTCAGGAATGACGAGATGTTTGAAGATGGCTCTGCTGTAGCCGCCCTTAACTACTGTCGCAATCCAACCAAAGATCCACAAGGGCCATTTTGTTTTATACAAGATGAAGCTACTAACCTGGCCCGAACAGAATATTGCCATCCTCGAAAATGCAGGGCTTCAGGTAACAGAACATGCAGGCTTTAGAATATGAAAGTCAGACTCAAAATGTCTTTTAAATAGACAATCTCCATGAAAATTATGGGAAAGGGAATCTCTATATCATATTCAGTTTCATCCCCAGCCAGCATATTAAATCAAAACTACTTGCATGATTTGAGTTCTTAAAACTATTATACAAATATCATCATCATCATCATCATCATCCTCTCCAACACCACCACCACCACCACCACCACCACCACCACCACCATCTCAGCATGCCAAATCCCCATATTATTGGACTAGATTATGAGTTACTGAGCATAGCTGCAGTTTGGTACACATCACCACAAAAAAATTAGTCTGATATTAAATCATGCATAGAGCTTTAAGGGATGGAATGAAAGTTGTGACTGTTCGAAATGGATTTTGCCAACAGAGGATAGGGTCCAGTGGTTCAATCCTTCTAGTATCTTAATACTAGTGAGTCATGTTTTATTTCAGGTTTAACTGATGTTGTAATCATAATTTTTTTTTAATTGTGAATGTATAAAGAAAGACTGATATAAATTTTTCATCTAAATTTATGATCTATCTGCATATAAAATTTCACAGATTTCATTGCAGTTGTTCATTAGTTATCCACATCAAAGAGAAAGGTTAATATAAATTTCATGCAAAAACAAAACAAACTCCATGGTTTTAGTCTGCAAGCAAACTATACCGACCGAGTGACAACTGCTTGTCGGCGAAGTTAGTGACAACTTCAGCAGATAGAGGGTATTGCGTGGTCAGCAAAATGAATCCCCACATCTGTTGATTTTGGTTTTCTAGACTGGAGCTGCTATTTTCTTGAAACAGCGCCTCATTTATCCTCATGAGGCTGAGTGGACCCCATTCCAGACCCAATATTTCTCAAAAAATCTGGTAGCGCCAGGAATCAAACCCAGACCTCTGGATCTGTAGCCAGGAACTAAGACCGCTAGACCACAGAGGTGGTCAAAAATTTCATGCAGCTGCCATATTGTTGTTTCACATGATACAAGAATTGTCATAATAAATATTTAATACTTTTCTAAGACCTATTATCATGAAAATTTCAGTGCCTTACATCAAGTGGTATTATAGTAACACGAGTTATTCTAGTCTCTGCAAGAAAATATACTATACTGTATTATAGTGTCTTTACTCTTACCTCAGACATCACATGACAAGACTTTTAGGTGTTATTAATGATAGAGAATTAAAAACAATGAAGATGGGTTGGTGACCTATTGTTCATATCAAGTTTGATGAAAGTCCATCAGCCACACAGACGAACTCATATCTCAAGTCTATCATGTAGGAATAATTTGTGCTGCCAGTACATTCCTCTAAAAGCATCCACCTCTAATGAAGTTGAACTAGCACATATGCCCATTACCCATAAAGGATTAAATACAACCTAAAGAATTTGTATCATCATTATCACATTGGTATTTTTCATTATGCAGAAAAACTTAAGAAATTGCAGACATGTTCTTATCACATTAGTGTACCATGCTTCACATGTTGAACTGTATAATTAGTAAGTTATCATCAACAAGCTGTCAGCACATTTGCACCTGAAGGCTAAGTCATCTTATTTTATATTCAAGAAAACGAATGCAATTAAAATGAGAGATTTGCCAGTAATTTATCATCAAGATATCAGGATCTTGAACTGAATGGTACAACCTCAAAACCTACACAACAGCTATTTTGGTATAACTGATATGATGTATGAAAGTAAGATAATCAAAAATAAAAGGAGTTTATGAAAATTGGCCAGCTGGTCAAAATAAACCATTAGAAGACACATAAATACAATGATACATAACTCTCATTTTACTTCATATATAAAGATAGACTCATATGAAACAGAAGACAAAAAACTTCAAGTTATGAATAGCATGTCCCTATATTTATCCTGCAATACAGTGCACTAAGTATATGATGGATTAATGATAACTTTAACTTTCTGAGAATGCACTGATGTAATTATATCATTATGTACAATCCATTTTTTTCATTCTCAGAATGTCATACGGCAGGAACTGGAAATGACTACATGGGGGAACTGAATGTGACTAGATCAAAAAGAATATGCCAAAGATGGACAGAAAACACCCCACACGTGGTAAGTGCTTGTTACATTAAATGGTGACTTATATCAACATGCTTCTTCACCTCAGAATTAATTACTGATAATAAAATAAATCTGTTTATCTGTTGGCTTACCTCTTAATTCATTTAATCATTCATTTGTTCATTCTTGTATCTATTCACAGTTCCATCCACTTAGTCATGTATTTATTTAATTAATTTGATCGGAAATATTTCTTTCATGAAGAATAAAATAAAATAACATTTTACAACAGGTGGCCAAAACCGACAGGAATGACACTTTGTATCCCGAACGATCAGTTGAAAAAGCAAGAAATTATTGCCGGAACCCTAGCCATAATATTGCAGGTTCTTGGTGCTACACACTGGATCCTAAAGTACCACAGGATGTGTGTGATGTGCGAGATTGTGAAAAACCAGGTACAAATAGTTTTTATAAATAACATTCCATCCAGATGTGTTTGTTTCTTCAGTTATTTAATAATGCAGTAGCAGCTGTAGAACTTTGGTGGAATAAAACGAAAGAAAAAAGGATGAGGATGAATGATAAGATGGAAGGAGTCCTACTGTCTGTAAAATGATCATGAAACTGAGAAATCAGCCCTATGCTCCAACGCGGGAGCAGGAGGAGAGAGAGAGAGAAAGGGAGAGAAAAACAGCTCAGTCAGTGTAGTGACAGGCTGAGGATCAGTTCCTGGTATGAGCAAAATTGTTCTCTTCTCCATTCCCTTGTTTTTCTTCTTTTTTTTTTTGCTAGTGGGGTGGGACTAAGTCCCTTGTACTGTGGCCACTTCTGGCCTATTGTACCAGCCCCAGATGATAGGTGAGGGTGATTGTGGAGCAAATGGTGGCGTGAAGATTGGCAGGGGAAACTGAAGTACTCGGAGAAAACTTACCCCAGCACCACTTTGTCCACCACAAATCCCACTTGGCCAGACCCCGGGATCGAACCCGGGTCACCGCGGTGGGAAGCCAGCGACTAACCGCTTGAGCTATGGCATGGCCTTCTCTTCTCCATAGCATTCAGACTGGGGGTCACTGGAGCCTACCAAGCCAACAGGTACCAGTGGATCTTTCCGCAGTGGAAAGTGGCCACTCACCTCCGTCTAGTGCAGAGGTCAAGAATGATGAAGCTATACCTCCACTCCTCCATACATTTTTATGATATGGTGCTTAATTAAGCACAGGGAATTTTCCTTTCTACTTTATGGAGGGTAAAGAGAGTCTGTTTTAACCAGCATCAAAATGCTTCAAAAAGTTACTTGGTTGAATGAAATGAGCCCTATTTATGAATCGTCAAGATTACTCCCGTAAGTGCTGTTCAGTTTCAAGTGCATGTGTTTTTGAGGTACTGATCATCACTCTTTATATAAGTTATGTTTTCTAGAAAGAACTGTAACCTATTACATGTCATACAAAATGACAAGGTCCACAGGAAAAAAAATGTGAATCTTCATCAGGCTTAGAAATGGTATTAAGAGGATTGTTAATTAGTTTCAAAAATATACCTCAAAGAAAGGAAGGTATTTTGCACTAACAATAAACCTAACATCTAAGAGCAGTGAAGGCTATAATAATTATCCCATAAAATCGGCAACATTCTCCGGCTAATCTTATGCTTTTTGCAATTTAAGTACAGGTCAAAAGTCATACACTATGTCTCCTTGGATGAGATACAACAAGGGATTAAGTAGCAAAACTGCAAAAGAAAAGAAAGAAAGAAAGAAAGAAAGATGTAAAACTTTCGGTAATAATCAGTTCCCTTTCTTCTATATTCAAAAGGCTCTCTTTCTAATTACAGAGGAGTGCACCATCTTGACTCGAGGCGTGGGAGAAGGCCGTCTGGTTTATATTCGCAACAAATGGAGGAAGGAAGGCCTGAAGTTCTGGCTAAAGGAATGGGATCCAGACCTGCCTGATGGAATTATGTTTGTGATTAGACCTCTCAGTGGGGACAACTATTACAAGCTAATCATTGGGGCCGAAGAGAATGAGAAGGTGCTACTCTTCTATGGAGTGGGAGGAGGTGAAACTACTGGCTCTTTACAAATTGACATAATGCAGTTTTATTTAAAAAACAGATTAAAGATAATCTGACTATAGGAAATGTTGCATTCTTTATAAATATGTTATCGTAATATTGTTCTAATTTCAGGCAAAAAAGAGGTACTTCTGAAACAAAAGACCCTGCCACATCTGATTCCTATTGGAAAATGGGGAGGTTTCTGGTTAAGAATTCCGACAGGAGGCATCTCACTGGGTTATGAGGGCTTGGAAAACCACCTGTTTGACTGGGAACATGGTAGTGAGTCATTAACTAAGGAGCAGAGGCATGAGATTTTCAAACCCATGTTCATCACCTATACATCAGTTAAAGGCAATACCATTGGAGTCAATTTTCCATGCGATGGTTAGTTTGTATTTGTCACATATTATGATATTAAGCAAGAATTTATCAAGAGATTTTATGAAAATACTGACAGAAAATAGTTATAAATTTGTACTAGCAACTATTCCATCATACTCAAATTGTAGTTAGATTAAGATTACTTATGGAAACTTAATGGAACAGAAAAAAAAGGTAATAATTTACATTTTTATATTCTTTCAAAGAAGAGTATCAATATATTGTACAAAAGGTTTCTGTACTGTGTTAGTTGGCCCCCATAAGTTCCAAATGAAGATAATACTGACATCTGCAAAACCGACGTATTTGGCAGCAATTTTGCCTGGACTACGCATCTAAGAAATGTTTGGAATATGTCCATATGTATGATACTTTCTGGAGCTTTATATACATTTTATTTACACATAAAAAAAGTGTACCCCTGAGAGTAGCCTCTATGCCACCTTGGCAGTGTAAGCATCACAGGTGGCATCTCAAGGGTAAGCAATACTGTGTCATATAGTAATGAACACAAATATATGGGTGATTATGACCAGTGAGACCAGAGGGTTGTATTTGGCACTGGGAAATATGAAATAATGGGGAAGTAGAGAAAATTACATAAAGAATAGCTTCATACTGATATTGTTGGGGTAATTAAAGCAAGAAGGGTGATACAGGCAGAGCACGTAAAATGTGTGAGGAGAAACAAGAAATACAGAATACACAAGTATGAATACTGTCAAGGAAAAAGATCTCTTGCGAGATCTGAGCATAGATAGGAACATAATATTAATATGAACCCTAGAAATTAGGGTGTAAAGATGTTAAATGGATTGAACTGGCTCATGAGATCCAGTGATTAGCTTCCATAACATCAAACAATTTTTTGATCAGCTGCTTTAGGAAACCCTATACTGTGGAGTTAGTCAGTCAAATAATTAATTAGTTTGAATACAGTGAAGTGATGTGAAGAAGGAAATTATAGCATATTTTGAGCCATCTATTTGCAAAGAGGGGCTGAGAAAAATTACAAATGAAACTCAACAGAAACCAATAATGTTACATTCATTGGCTCAATTCAAAGAATGGTCCTTTCTAGATATGACACTTTCTGGGAAAACAAAATAATAATCATAAACTGTAGAAGAGTGGAGAACTGTATTTGAATCTTCATAAAATTGTTTTCATACCTCATGACAATGAATTGTTAACTTCATTCTGAAAATATTCCAGAACTGATGTTCAAGAATAACATTTTCCAGATGCTGACATCTTTGTAAGACTAAGGGACGTCTACAATTCTAGTCAGCTAACTTATTATCAGCATATTTATCATTATTACCATTTTAACATCATTTTCATTTTCCATCTGTACAAAATATGCAGACTTTTCTAAATCAAACACAGTATGAATGATTGCAGAATGTCAAAGAGAAAAAGTGATGACAAAATGTTTCATTAAATAACGCAGACTGTTTATATATCGAATGTGATGTGAATGATTGCAGAATGTCACACAGAGAAAACAACAACAAATCACATCACCAAGATGTTCCCATTGGGGCTGTGGTCAAAGNATAACATTTTCCAGATGCTGAAATCTTTGTAAGACTAAGGGACGTCTACAATTCTAGTCAGTTAACTTATTATCAGCATATTTATCATTATTACCATTTTAACATCATTTTCATTTTCCATCTGTACAAAATATGCAGACTTTTCTAAATCAAACACAGTATGAATGATTGCAGAATGTCAAAGAGAAAAAGTGATGACAAAATGTTTCATTAAATAACGCAGACTGTTTATATATCGAATGTGATGTGAATGATTGCAGAATGTCACACAGAGAAAACAACAACAAATCACATCACCAAGATGTTCCCATTGGGGCTGTGGTCAAAGGAGCCTGGTGGTCATTACAATAGCCTCACCTTACATATGCGAGGCACTGGACTTGCTACTATTCCTTTAACTAAACTACCAGGTATGGCTACAGGTCAAAAACATCCTAAATATTCATACCAACCACTCATAATGACATGATCTCTATCTATTTGAAGGAAATGCTGTTTCTAATATAGATGTCAGCACATTAAAGGGTAGGATGTATATTTCCCATTAAAACCTTATGAAAGTACAATTCTCATTTACTGCAACAGGAGAAATAACTTCTGAACATAACTTCAAGTTGGTATTTATTAAACATAGTAAACACTGTTATATTTTGGAACAGTCAGTTTCAGAGTGTCAGTAGCCATGACAGACCTCAATGCAGACTTGACTAGTCCATAACTATTCCAATGTATGCCCTTGCATTGCCTTCTTCACCCTGCACCAACAATTTTATGCCTTATCACCAGGGACCGGATTTTAATGCAAATGCGTATTTCTTTCTTGCAACCAAGAAGTATGCTCATTTTGATGTATGTATGAATTACTTAATTTCATAAATTTTAGACATGGTATGATGGTGCATATAAATGTATATTTTGCCTGTTTTATCAATAAGAATAATAGTTTTGAAAATCTCTATTTATGCTTGCATATTTTCTTTTTAACATGTTTATAATGTCGATCCTAGTGGCACTGTGCGATTGGAAGAATTACGCCAATTAAAAATGCAGTGATTTCATCGGGAATCGAACCCACGTTGAAACCTAAAGATTGTGTATGCTCCTCCGAAACTTTGATATCTGTTCCTAACAGGAAAACTACGCGGTGTCTCAATTCAGGAAGCCGTGACACGTGGAGAAGTAACTGGAGACAGGAAGTGCTCACGTAGCCCAACCGAATTACTGGCCCCGTGTAGAATGTCACATTGCAAGCGGCAAGCATTCATCGCTTATCTGCCACGTCTTACATTCAGAGCAGCAATGCCGCACTGGGCGTTCCCAACGTGTATAATGCAAACCGGAAAACAATTGAAGGGTGCGATATTCTGGGTTTTAACGTCGTGCAGTTGGGAGAGATCCCAAATTTTCGGAGCAACTTGCCGCCTCCTTCAGAAAGTTTATTGCTTTCATTACTCTTCGACCTTGAAGACGTAGACGAAAAGTTTTTCCGAAATATCGGGCTCTTTCCAAACTGCATGGCGTTACAACGCAGAACACCAAATTCAAAATAAACAAAAGCTAATTAAGAAAGAATAAAACTATGCAACCATGAGAGAAATATCAGGGACCGAAAACTGGGAGAACACACAAAAATAAATAGAAGAAAGAAAGACTAACCTTGGTAGGCACTAATTCTTTTTCTTGCGTTGGTTTATTGGTCTAGTGATAGGGGGTCAGCTCTGTCCAGTCGACTCACCTGAATAGGTGTCCCCCATCTGATGACGGGAGCAGACTCAACTGTCAGAATGTTACGTTATTGCTTTGAGAATGCCACGTGACTGATGAAGTATAGAAAGCTCGAAGAAATGAAGCAGTGGCTCCTTATTTCGGGAATCTAACAACACTACGGAATACACTTGTTTGCTGGAATNTTAAAAATTAAATCCATGAAAAGTGCTCCTGTTCAAATATTACTTAGGGAATATTCTAATAATAGTTTTTCACAGTTCTCCTTTGACTTGTGTGAAGCCTTTTTAGCAGTAGATATTCCGCTGTGGAAACTAACCAATCCTACTCTGAGAAACTTCATAGAGAAGTATACACAGTGCAAAGTAATAGATGAATTCACTGTGTGCAAAAATTATGTGAAGCAGTGTTACGATCTTACAATTGAAAACATTAGAGATAAGATTCAAGATAATTTTGTGTGGGTATCAATTGATGAGACATACAACTGTGCCGGTTTATTGCAAATATTATAGATGGATCCCTTAATAAGATTGAACAATGTACCTCATATCTTCTTGTGGTAGAGCAATTTGAAACCACAAACAGCTCTGCAGTTTTCAAATTCTTTTATTGATTCCATGAATTTACTATGGCTGAATGGCATTCAGTATGAGCGCCTATTGCTCTTTGTGATTGATGCCGCAAGTTGCATGATATTTCCAGACATGACACATTTGACTTGCCTTGCCCATGGGTTGCAGAAAAAATTCATGCAAATTTGTCACTTGTTGACAATTTGGTGTCTTCTGCGAAGAAGGTATTTGTTAATGCACCATATAGACAAGAAGCCTTTAAAGCAGTAGCACCGAACATTCCACTTCTGCCAGAACCAAATTTAACGTGTTGGGGCACATGGCTGTGTGTAGTGAGTTATTATACCGAACATTTAGAAAGAGTTAGGAATGTTGTGAATATATCTGATCCCAAAAGTGCAGCATCAATTCAAATTGCCCAAGATGTACTTGAAAACGCAGAACTAGAAACTAATCTCTCTCATATATCTGCTCACTTCTGTCGTCTTCCATCTGTCATTTCCTCACTGGAGGCAAGTAATAGCAACACTACATTGCATCAATCATTAAGTGAATTCAAAATCACTGTTTCCACATTGAATTCGGTTCCTGGAAGAGATGGAGAAATAGTAAAGGAAAAAGTACCCAGTATTCTTTCAAAAAACCGAGGATATGAACAAATTTGTAAATTGAAGAAATTTTAGCCAGTAAACATATTGAACTTCCAAGTAAAAAATCACTAACAGTGGAGCAAATATCGGCTTTTCTACATGCACCCTTAAGTTCCTGTGAGATGAAACGATGTTTTTCCCACTATAAGGACATCTCATGAGACAATAAGAGGCTACTAACTATGGAAAACCTAAAACATTAATAATTGTGTATTGCAACAGAAGTGAAGCTGAAAGCTTGGAAAGCTAATTGTGAGTACTATTGGTTTTTTAACTTGCAATGAAAAAATGTTGGCTTTGTTGCATGATTTGTGTTTACCTATAGCTTTTCATTGCAAGTGAATCATTCAGTGATTACACAAAATTAACTTAAATGCTGATCTGTTAGTCTTAAAATAATGTAAAACCAATTTTAATATTTGGTATGAACTTTTTATGTTCATATTCTGGAAGTTTTTCATGCATAAATGCATATATATATTTGAGGGATTATTAGGGCATAAGAATTCAGTCCCTACCAATCACAGTTTCAACACATATGAATGTGGCATACTGGTTCTAAGCCCACAAACTCAACTCAACTCAACTGTGCAACTCACAAGCTCTGCAAAACATTTATCCAGGCATAGTCATTGTTGGCAGTGCAGGCTGTGTGGTTCAAGTACAATATGGAAACCAGTAGGGGAATGGTAGAGTTAAAAAGTATCCAAAGTAAGAGGCCCACACACATGTGCTCCCACCTTCCCTCGCTAACATGACAATATTAAGGTCAGAAATAAATTCCTGGAACTGAGCTTCTCTGACCTCAGCACTGAACTAATATCAGGAAAGACCTATAAGAATTATCCCAAAGTATATGTGTATGGCAAGAATAATCAGCTTAACAGTGCACATACTATTAAGAAGTTATGGATATTAGACATGGAATTTACTTCTCAACATCTTCTATGCCAACATGTTTCCCAGTAGTTATGATAAGATACAATGTGTCATTCATTAATATGCACTTTCAATTTTGTTGCAATACTAACATATTTTAAACAGCTAAGCATGGATTTGACATGTAAGGTCCATAAGCTCCAATATCCAACTTGCTAATTTCTCATAAGGCAAAATCTCCTAAGAAGATAAAAGTTTTAAATAAATTCTGATGTTTCAGAATACACAGAGATATAGGCTATGGAGTCCCATGCAATTTATACAAAACATGATATAGATATTTCTTGATTCATGAAACAGTTATTTTAAAATAAAAATCTGGATATGGTGAAATCACATAAATCACACAATGTTCCCTTCACATTCTTCCATTTCTCTTCACCTTAATTTATTTGTCAGCAGGCAATTCATATTAAAATGGCTGCTATTAATTGAAATCGGGTTAAATTAGTTGAATGCATTAAGATTAAATAGCAATTTTTTAATTCACATATAACAAGGAGTACCTGTGTTATACATAGTTAAGATTAAATTGCATTTTTTGAATGTGCACATGAGTAGTACTTGTATTATAAAACAGCACTCCTTGTAATACATACACTCAGAAAATGTAATTTAATCTTATATGCATGACAAATTTTGAATGATTTCAATTAATGGCACTTATTTTAATGTGAACTGCTTGCTCGCTATCCACCTTCATGTTATGATGCTAGACTTTAAGAGCCAGGATATCACAGTCAGTATAGCAACTGGCTATGGGTTGGACAGCCAATGGGTCTGAGTTCAAGTTCTCACTGGGGCAAGATTTTTCTCCCTTACATGTTGCCCAGAATGGCTCTGGGGACCACCCAGTCACCTATCCAGTGGATATCAGGGGCTCTTTCCCTGCGGTAAAGTGGTCCAGATGTGAAGCTGACCATTCACCTCCAACTAGTTCTGAGGTCAAGAAAACATGGATCTACACATACATCCCCCCATACACCTTCGTGGTGTTGTGCTTAAATGGTTAAGCACAGGGATAAATTTACCTTTTTCTTTATCATGTAAGAATTACCTATATTATAAACTTCCAGCTGTGACCATTAACTCTTCTTGGCTCAGAAGCCATTATAGAACCTGGAAAAATTTAATGGTTATCACAAAACAGCCACTAGTCAGCTTCTTTTTGGATGTCACTGTAATTTTAAGCAGGAGCTAATCTGGTTACAGTCCTAAAGACTGTAAGGAAGTTACATTAATGCTATTCATGTAATGCTTTTGCTAGCAGTGGGCACCTTTCATATGCTGAAAAGTGGGAACAGAACACAGGCATTTCACTGAAACTTTTAATGTATTTAGAATATTATAGTGACTTTTATTAATACATTGTTTGTGTTAGGTCTAGGAAATTATTATGGCCTGATAATTGGCAAGGGTGGAAATCGACTATACTACGTCAAAAATGACGAGAAAGGACTCAGATCACTGAAAAGAGTAGACATTGCTGGACCTATGATACACAAAGACGAGTGGACAGTGTTTCATATCAGGTGTGTATCAAAGTAGGTTACTGTATTCAAGAAAAGTAATTGAATATGGACCAATAAGCTGTAGGATTGTCATTGTTGAGACTTCTCAAGTTCAGAGATTGTTACAATGTTATTAGGAAATATCATACACACATACATGCATGTATATAATAACATAAGTATGCCCTTCTTCAGGGAGGAAATTATGCTAAACGTACTGCTTTCCAGACTGCCTGGTCACTTTTAGATTAGTAGACAGATTCTTCTTTCTACTGATGTCATACATGTAGACATTACTAAATCTCTGTAAATTTAATTTATTACTGTCTCCAATGACAATTTGGTAATGATACTTGTGCGACTTAGTGTAATGCCCTGAAATTCTGTGTACTATAAGATCATTAAGAATTATGCACCTAGTATTGAAGTCACTTTATACAAAACATAAAATAACAGCTAGAAATATAATGATAGATGTGGCCCTAATTACTTCTGTTTGGCATAAGGAAAAATTGCCTGATCAGTGGAAGGAGTCTATTATTGTACCAGTTCACATGAAGGGTGATAAAACTGACTGTATTATCGGGGGGATATAGCTGCTATCAACTTCATACAAAATTTTATTCAATATTCTTCTCTCAAGGTAAAGTCCATATATAGATGAAATTATTGGGGATCATCAGTGTGGGTTTTGATGTAACAGATCACCTACAGATCTGATCTTTTGCATTTGTCAGATACTGGAGAAAAATGGGCGTACAATGAAACGGTACATCAGCTATTTTTAGACTTCAAGAAAGCCTATGATTCAGTTAGGAGGGATGTATTGTACAATATTCTGATAGTTTGGGATACCCATGAAACTAGTTAAGCCGATTAAAATGTGTTTAAAAGAAACGTACAGAGAAGTCCCTATAGGTAAACAGTTGTCTGCTAAATTTCCTATCCAAAATGGTTTAAGAAAAGGAGACACTTTATTGCCGCTCCCTCTCAACTCTGCTTTAGAACATGCCATTAGGAAGGTACAGGAAAACCAGGTGGGACTCAAATTAAACAGGACACATCAGCTGTTGGTATATGTTGCAGTCTCATCACCAAAATGCAGGGCAAAATCATGACATAATGATAGGAAATAGATGTTTTGCAAATGTGGTACAGTTCAGATATTTGGGAAAGATGATAACAAATCAAAACCTGATTGAGGAGGAAATTAAGAGGAGATTGAACTCGGGTAATGCTTGCTACCATAGAACCTTTTGGCCTCTCCTTTGCTGTCCAAGAATATAAAAATTAGAATATACAAAACTATAATTTTGCCTGTGGTTCTGTATGGGTGTGAAACTTGATCTCTGACATTAAGGGAGGAGCATAAGACTCATGGTGTTGAGGAGAATATTTGGACCAAAGAGGGATGAAGTGACAGGAGGTTGGAGAAAACTGCATAATGAGGAGCTTCATAACTTGTACTCTTCTCCAAGTATAATTAGAATGATTAAGTCAAGGAGGATGAGGTGGGCAGGGCATATAGCACGAATGGGGGAGAAGAGGAATGCGTATAGGATATTGGTGGGAAAGCCAGAAGGAAAGAGACCACTGGGAAGACCAAGGCATAGGTTGGCAGACAATATTAAAATGGATCTTAGAGAGATACGATGGGAGGGTATGGACTGGATTGAGCTGGCTCAGGAAAGGGACCAGTGGAGGGCTCTTGTGAACACGGTAATGAACCTTCAGGTTCCATAAAATGCTGGGAAATTCTTGAGTAGATGCAGATTTGGTTTCTCCTCAAGAAGGGCTCAGCTCCATAAGTAAGTAATTTTTTTAATGCTAGTGGGGTGGGACTAAGTCCCTTGTACTGCGGCCACTTCTGGCCTATTGTACCAGCCCCAGATGATAGGTGAGGGTGATTGTGGAGCACTTGGTGGAATGAAGATTGGCAGGGGAAACTGAAGTACTCAGAGAAAACCTGCCCCAGCGCCACTTTGTCCACCACAAATCTCACTTGACCAGACCCGGGATCGAACCTGGGCCGCTGCGGTGAGAAGCCAGCAACTAACCGCTTGAGCTATGGTGTGGACCAAAGTAAGTAAGTAAGTGTGGATAGGCCATAAAGATATCTAAAGACCTGCACCAAAAATAATTTATTATGTTTAATAAAATAGGATTAGTGATATATTTAGGTACAGTAATAGAATTCATGTACGTAGAGCAAAAATAGTGATCGTTTTTGCTGTCTCGTGACAGAATTACATCAAAGGTTACTTACAAGAAATAATGGTGCCTGTCTTTCTTGTTGGCTTGGTTGGCTTAGTCAGATATCTATTGCTACATATTTTTAAACAGTCCTTCAATTCGTAGCTTGACATAGCTTTTAAAGGGACACAATTGACATCCATTACTTCTATGAGGTTAATTCTTAAATTTGACTTTTATATATTATATTATACGAGTACAGTGTGTTCAGTTAAGGAGGAAACTTCGCAACACCGCTGACGTGGCCCAACATTCCTCACAGATTGCTACTGTACCCACTGTGGTGGCTCGGGTTCGATCCCAGGCCTGGTCAAGTGGGATTTGTGGTGGTAAAAGTGGTGCTGGGGCAGGTTTTCTCTGAGTACTTCAGTTTCCCCTGCCAATCTTCATTCCACCAAATTCTTCATCATCATAATCACCCGGGGCAGGTATAATAGGCCAACCAGTGGCCACCGTGCCGAGTGGACCCAGCTGGACTCCACCCCCCACTAAGTGATTTAAAAAGAAAACACTTCTTAGTAGTTGGGATGGATGATACACAGGTGAACCAAAAGTCACTGTACACCAATAGCAGATGATGAGTGCACCAAGAACATCTCTGTTGGAGTTCAAGTCCAAGTAGGGTCACACTTTTTCTCTTCTCCTTGTCATGCAGACTGGCTCTGGGGTCCACCCAACCTTCTATCCAATGGGTACTGGGGGCTCTTTTGCCAGGGGTAAAGCGCCTGGGGCATGAAGCTGACCACTCACTCCAGCTAGTGTTGGGGTCAAGAAAATGTGAACCTATACATCCACTCCCCCATACGCCTTCATGGTATAGTGCTGAATTAGTTAAGCACAGGGACAACTTTACGTTTTTTTTACCTTTACATTAATACATGTACATTTCTTGTCTTGTACTTACCTATGCTAAATTTAAAACAAATCTTTGAAGTGGTCCCCCCATGTGCTTGTAGATACACATCTACCCATCCTGCTTTGTTTCCAAAGACACATAACAATTCAATCAGAGGGATCTTCTTGATAAAGTTTGTCATGGAAGAATATGGGGCCTATCATCTGTTTTTGTGATATGGTGCACCACACCCCAACCTTCTGAGCATGTAATGGTGTATCCTTGATTTTATGTAGCAATGCTTCTTCAGCACTACATGTGTTGCCATACGAGATGCCTGTTTGCTGTGCCAATTTACAAATATTAATACTATGAAAAAGGTGATTTCATTGTTTGTAGTGTAGAGGCACAGTGACTTTTGGCCTATTCTGTGTATACTGTACATATTATAACCAAGGCTACACTGTCACTGGGGGACATAATACAGAGATCTGGTCCTCCTGGGTGGGGGTTGGATGCAAGATTGATGACCTTGCATTGATTACTGCTGCAAATTCCAAAGAAGTGAAAACCTTATGATCTAATTCAAGGCAAGTCTGGTAGAATCTAAGGAAGGTTGTAGCTCAAAAAGGCCTATTTTACTGCTGATGATGATAATTTTAACAGCAAGAAAAAAAGTCTTACAAAAAAGAATTATGGCTACTGAATTATGAAGTGGCTCCAGACATTACAAGCAAAACCTGTCATCACTAGTATCAGCCAATCTCTCATTTGGTGCCAAATTTAGTATCAGTGGCCATGGTTTCCCATCCATGATGTAAAGGAACTCTTATGTACAATATATTATGAGCAGAATTAAATCACTAAATCTATAATTTTTAATTTGTAACTGCTACTGGCCTTTGTAAAATAGGTAGGCATCAGAAGTTCTTTCCAGAACCTACTCCTTTAGTAAGTGGTTGCTACTCAAATGTGACAAGGGGAAGGCAATAATTTACATATAAAAGGTAAAAGAAAGTTAAAGTTGTCCCTGTGCTTAATTAATCAAGTGGGCATGCCATACCTCAGGCAGTTAGTCGCTGGCTTCCAAGCGGTGGCCTGGATTCGATCCCAGGTCAGGTCATGTGGGATTTGTGGTTGACAAAGCGGCATTGGCACACGT